AATTAAAGGAGGCATTTTTAAAGCTTATATAGCAGGATTCAGTTACAGTTATCTAGGGCGAAGTCTAGGAAGGATGGGGAGGCGTGGCCAGGGTGGGGTGGAACCATGGAAAGCGGCATAATGTGTACTACCGTGCACGCGGGGTACAGCAAGGCCAAAATAAAATATAGTTGTGCTTCCCTTTTCAGCTCCAAAAAACATAGGTTATATATTAATACTTGGCAGGGAAAACATTTTATTTCATTTTTTTTGGACAATGACATTTCTTATTGTTTATGTTATTATATTATCTATCGAGTGTTTAAGAATGATTACCGAGTGTTTAGGAATGATATATATTATAAAGGCATGTAAATTTATGGCTAGTTTGTCATCATCAATAAAAAGTAGCATCGGTCTGAACAGATATATATATGCCAATATGCCAACTCATGTCAGGCCTATCGTATGATGTTGTATCACTGGCACTTCCATGAAACTCCGCTTGATATCGGTACGATGATGATGGTTTTAGAAGTAAACGCAATCCGGGAATCCCAACCCTACGCATTGAGAAATGTTGGCGCGACATTGATCAAGTTAAAACGAGGCAACACGATCACGGGATAAATCTTGGACGCGCAAAAGAACAGCGTCTAATTTGCATATCGAATTATCTAGGTCATGTCGCCTTATAAGACAGCAAAACTTTACAATTAGTTACATTTTACGTGGTAGAATAAAAATAACCAACTTATGTGCGTGCATTATGGTGGAATATATAACTTGGGATTCGAAACGTTGGAAAAATAATTAACTCAGGCCGAAACGGCCTTCGTTAATTATTTTTACCAACATTTTCTCACCCTCGTTATATATTCCACCATAATGCACGCACATATGTTGATTATTTCTCAAATATAACAGATATATTTATCATTTGATTAATTTTTACCTGAGGTGTACCAATCGATACAATGACATCAACTGCCTGCTGCGAGACCATGGACCAGAAGTCTTCGACCGTGTTGTGTAGAGGATGCTGTGTAATGATATATCCATACTGATCCCGATAACTCTAAAGATAAAGGGAAAAATATTTGGTTTGTGACATTATCAAAAATATTTGCATGATCTTGTCGTTAAATATGTTAGTCTTGTCGAATTGTTTGGCAATTTCCAGTATATCATTAAATTTCTAAACGAATTATAGAATAAATGACAGTTGTCATTGTAACAATAATTTTCTCCACTTAGATATACTATTGGTATGCCAGTTTACATTGGAATTTATGTTGTTATGATAAATATGTATTTCCATGTACACTTCATGTAAACTCGTGGGTTTCAACGTTTTTGCATATGTACGATATCGGACTCGTAAAATTTGTTATCTGTAACTGAATGAGATAGGCTTATCTCGGTCGAAGGCTAAGATTATGAAACATAAACCCGATCTCCGCTGACGCGTCGGTTGAGATGTTACGTAATCTTAGACCGAGACTGAGATAACCTGATATTGCTAACTTACAGGCAATTGTTTTTTCTCGCACCTTTTAGTGCAAAATACTATTCACTTTCGTTAGAGTCTACATGGTCTCCGTCCGGTGCCTAAAGTAAATATAGCCTATCCACTCTTAAATCTTTTAAATTTCAGTTTGAATGATTATGCGTAAACAACATAGTCCGTCCTTCATAACAATAAAAAAGTAGTTCACACAAGTGTGTTTACAAACCAATGTACGGTTGTACAGTCTGTCTGTATAACGGATGAAAACGTTGCTGTGTGAAAATTCCGCGGGAATGTGCCAGACAGATCAAACGAGAAAGAGGTAACTAGCAGGAAGTATCAAATGGAGTATCCAAATGATGATGATGAGATAAAAGTTGTATTTATTATATATTTTGTATTTTTTACATATTAATGTAAAGCCATTTTTATATAAATCAGCATGATAAGACACACATATCGATGTCCTAATTCATTACCGGTGCATTTATTGCGTTGATATAATCGGATGTTGTAGATGTTAGGTACACCCGGTATCTCTCCACTGTAAGAAAAAATGTTAGTATCAAGCAGTTCTGTGTCTTCATACATGTACGAAATACTCATGTACGTAAATTGAACTTGAAACACGTTAATATTATATTTTTAACAAACAAAAATACTGCTACAATTGAATATTTTTAAGGTGTATGCAAGAAAAATCATATTCAAGATGAAAATCATATAAAGAAATACTTTATCACTGTCACTCGATTTTGTTTCAGTTGAACGAAGCGAATGTTATAATGATCTGGTTTTTACAAGGTTGACATTTCCTTTAAACAATTCCTAAAAAACCCCGTCAAACTACAATGAAATCACACTCACCTGCTAATATTGAGAGGTCTTTGTTTTTCCTTTTGTTTGTGCTGGTAAGAGCAGTCTCGATATCTCTGTCTTTGTAATGAGGCTTGTGATTTTCTAAAGCCTTCACGGTTTATTAAAATAAATCATTAATCAAATATGTATAATGTACACCTGTAATCATAATATTCTATTATTATAGTTACCATAGGATTACAATATAAGTAATATCTATAACAATAGAAATAAACATTTATTTGATTTACGAAAATATATCCTATTGACAGGGTCATTGTAAGATTCATCATTTCGATTAATATATCATGTTTGGCTTAGTGTACATGTACATCTGTATCATAAAATGCATAATACAATGTAGTAGCATGTTTGTATTACTCGTTATAATTGTATTATAAAATGAATGATAATTATGTAAGCAACTGTACACTGTAGGTTAGAATAGGTCAACTTGCCCTTTCTTAATAAGATTTCGTTCATGTTTCGCAATTTCATTCTTAATCATAAATCTATTCAAGCCAAAGTGTCTGTATAACTAACCAGCCATCTTGTGATGTTGCATGGAGGTTTTATTCAAATTGATACTTGCATTGAACTGTTTTTCGACAATGCCCCCAGTAAGCATGTCAGAAATATTTTTGCTGAAATCAGGTTCTGTCATACACTGGGTCACAATTCCGAGGCCCTCGGCGAGGACATCGTGGAGTACTACGTACTGGTCCTGTAAGTAATGTCACATTGTGTAAACAGTGCATGTTGTGAACATAGTACGAAACAGGACACTATGCGTATTTGGACCAATGACCAGTAATACCTTTTTTATCCTGATAGGTAGATTACCAAAGTACATGTACTAACAATCAGTTTATAGATAATTTTGTTACATGTTACAGCATACATTCTGTACAAATATTTACCATGATTTTTACTTGATTAGGGTTTAATTCAATAGTGATTCTTTGTATACTTCTATTATTTTTTGTGCCAATATTTGTACAATGTTACGATTTAAGAATTAGTGTCACTTTTATCAAAATGGTAATCTTTCATAGACTATTAGTATTGCAATAGCTAATATAGAACACATATTCTTTTTTGTACTCATTTTGAATCTTGAATATTTACTATTGTTTGTATCATGTTCATTCGATCCTTCCGCATCCTTTTAGTGTAAGCAAACACATCGATTTCATCGTTCTCATTTCCCTCTTTCAACAAGGCGTCTAGACCAATGTATGTTCCGGTTCTTCCAATACCGGCACTGTAAGATATTAATTATCCGACGATCTTATCGAGAGAAAAAATCCAGCATTAATATGTCCAATTAAATAGTCCTTAAGCTCAATATGTCAAATTAAATCGATGAGACCAATTTGTTGATGTCTTGGATAACTTAACAAAGTGTGTTCATCGCTTATGTATCTATAACAAAACAGGCTTTGACATTCCGATGTCTTTACAATAACGTTTGCCTCGTTTAACAGATTTGTTGTAAACTCTTATGCTTAGTGAACAAGTAGAATATTCGCTTTCTAAGCTTGCATCAGTGAATTCACATGTTTATATTTAGCAATTAAGCTATGTAGTCATAGTCAACCAATGTAAGTACAATTTCTATTTATGTACACTGTCTGTCTTTAAATACATATGGCGGCGAAAACGTCAGGGCCAATTTATAGAATGTTGATATGCTTTACGCTTGCCAGACACATTTTGTCATCATCAGTGTTTATATTTCGCACGTTGCAAAGATAACAAACATAGTTAACTACTGTATCTCTTTCTTCCATTTGTGTCGTGTGTTTTTGAAATTTGTTTGTTAGTACATTATAAAGCAATTCAATCATCGTTTGAACAATTCTTCAAAAAAGGAATCTTTTTTTCAATATTTATCTTTCTTCTACAAAAGTTGCATATCACTCTGTTCTTCGTTCTTGTTACTTCGCTGATGGGTTGAGAACTAAGCTGTATTTTCACCTCGCATGTACCGGTCAAGTTTTTATTATCAGCATAACCAATGGTCATTAATCAATGAAAAAGCCGTTGATGAGCTAAACGTATATTGGAACTTTTAATTCTGAAATTAAAACACAATGACATTAATTGATATAGTTTTACAACTGTTATCAATCTAGCAGCCTCTTACCTGCAGTGTACAATAAGTGGACCGTTCAGATCTGTTGGTGTAGATTGTACCCGTTTGTGAAACTGAAGGAGTTCGAACGCTTCCGGTACACCGTGATCTGGCCATTTGGTGAAGTGGTACTGCATTATCTGCCTTTTGGCGTTAGTCTTGATAAGAACAATAGATAGAGGGTATCGGTAATTTGACAAAATGGGGTTTTTAGACGCCAATGATGCGACATTTCTGGCCTAAGCATTAATATGTCTTCTCTATTTTATTTAAAACTTCAATTTCTATGAAAATAAGGAATTTCGGTATGTCAACAAAACAGCAGCTTGAATTCAAAAGCAATGACACTATGGTTACAATTTTTCAATAATGATAGACACACATGCCAACAACTGAACACGTACAAAGGAAACACGACCAGGTGTTCCGAAAGAGTGAACGTCTTCTGCTTCATCGACGACAACCCCCACTCCCAAATTTTGGTCAAAACCAAGTTATGTCATGTCCTCAAAATGGTGAGGACTAATCCAATGANTACGCATTTCCAAAGTCAAAATATGTTTCAGATTTTTTTTTCGTTCCTATCAATTACCTGTTTATTCCTCACTGATAGTTTTCTAATGGTATAGAAGGCGTACGACAATTCCTCTTGTAGTGTCACGTGATATAGTCCGAGCTGCAGGGAATTGCCCTCCTCCCCGTCCCAGTATTTACTGCACTTTTTCTAATAATAATAACAATGCCAAGAATGTAAAACAAATCACAAAATCCTAATATCTCCAACTTAGTCAATTAATAAAAATGATGAACAACTGCTAACGAGGATTAGTGAACTATAAACCAATACTAATAGCTGCTTTTATAGGGATTGAATCCAGAACGAGAAGGGGGGATTTTACTTATTCACCACATGAGCAGTCATCGAGGATTCATGAATATGAAATTATACTAATGGTGGTCAATATCACCATTGATCTGGTTACGATGAAACAGGCTTTTTACAGCCAACTAACATGGATGGATTGATTCATGTCCTTTGTTCATCTAATACTGAAGCACACTGACCTCCTACTGGCGATAGTAGTATATGCTTGACCTCCTCATGTATTGCATATCATATCCTAATCTCTGTAGTTATTAAACTAAGACGTGATATTGAAAAACTGGTCTGAGCTAGAATGGATCTTAAGGGCGGGCAGTGGCACGATTGATGATAGAAATTTGCAGGAAGATCAGTGTCATGCATGCATGAGACAATAGCATGCATGCCAGTTATAAGTATCAAAGGTCATATCATATATATAGGATTTTACATCAGTTTTCATTTCATATGAGATTTATGAATTTTAATTTAACGAGCCTCTGGCGAGCTAAAATGAAAAATTCGTGACGAGTTTAATAAATTTAATATGAATGAAAACGAGTGTAAGATCCTTTTTATCACATACTCAAGATCTGTGGCATGTATTCGTATAAAACGACAATTTTTATGCAACCTTGAAATGTAAAAAGCCACCATTTTGACTCCAGTGCGTAGGTCTGTGACGTCATGTTCTTGTCTAGGCGTGACGTCACAATTGAAACAATTGAAACTTACAACCAATCACAGGGCTGATAGGTCATATTACATGGGTTAATTCGCAAAAAAATATGACATGGGTATATTCACTGCATAACACAGTACATTATGCGATAAATGTGGTTACTAGACTCAAATGGATATATACATAACAGCACAACCACATATAACGTGCATTCCATTAAGTATAAAGTTCTAGTTGTGCTAACTTAGAATTGTTCTGTTGAAGAAGCATGGTTCTCCGAATTATCTTTCTGCACGTACAAATCTTATTATGTTGAAAAATAAATAAAAAATAATAATGAAAAAAATCTGAAAAAACGACGTTACGGCTTCGTCGCAAAAATGTCAAATAATACGAATAAATGGGAATTGCTGATAACGTCATCACATCATGGGTACCATAGATGAAAATATGTCATATAGGTTTTATTACCTTTCCAAGTTCCACTAAATTTGCAAGCATAATAATCTTTCCGCTCTGCTTCTGCCATACCATCCGCCAAAAGTCATCTAACGTTGTCACTTTTGGGCCTATTTTGATAAAATAGAACGTTCACAAGGATCGTAAAAATCGTTGTTGTATATCTATTCTTGAAGTACGAGGATGTCAAACTAACCTGATTGATACCTCGGGCAATAAAAAAATCCAGTTAACTGTCATGAAGCTTCACATATTCAAAAAATATGATAATTATAATAAATAAAGTTCATAAAAAAAGAATTGTACCCTTATAAAATGTTTTATATGCACCTTTCTTATTTTGTTGTATTTCTACATGTGTTTTTGAAACATGTTAGACATTGTTTTTAATTTGTTCGACATTTAATACAACTGATAAACGAAGTAGTCATATGGTGTTTAAAAGTGTAAACTCTGTTTGGCTTTCTGTATTCACTCGCTAAGATTTTATTTATATTGGTTATTTTAAGTTTAGTTATCTTTAAATGTAATTTGAACAAAGAAAATTTTACTTGGAAATGACTTACCTTGAGTAGCAATGTATGCTTTTATACCCTTTGTATCCTGCAATGCAAATAAAATATAGCTAATAATTTAAAACAAAACAAAAAACACTATCTAATAGCCAAAGATAAATTGAACGTTTTAGAAAACTTGATTTTCCGTCTTTTCTTGGTAGCTTTAACTTACATCTACCTTATCAAAATCGTTCTCTTTCAAAATTATAGCCGATTTGAAAGTGTGGTACCTCAATTTCATTGGCATTAATGTAGTCGCTGAAGCCTTCCTTTTCCTTTCGAAGGATAACTCTCGAATGGTCATCTGAAAAAAAGCTAGACCAGTTGATTTTTTTCCTTTATTATGTTATGATTTTATCTGTATCAAGTAGTATCTAACTCGTGTTAGAGTATCATTACATCACATATTTCAGGGTATTTTATTTTAGTGTATAATTATGTGAGTGTCACTTTGGTCTCAATTTTCATAAATATAAGCTTCAGTCAGCTGTTTAATTTGTCTGTATGTTACTTTNAATTTCAGGGTATTTTATTTTAGTGTATAATTATATGAGTGTTACTTTGGTCTCAATTTTGAAAAATATAAGCTTCAGTCAGCTGTTTAATTTGTCTGTATGTTACTTTTCATTACATAATTATAAATTTGTATTTTAATCGACTAATTTGTTATACGACCTGCTACATTGTAACACAATTCATGACACGATACTTTAATTAATAAGCATTGTTTTATATCAGCATACTCACATGCAAACGTTGTTTTAAATCGGTTTCGAAATATATTTTCAGGTGCCTTGGAGGTTTCGTGTGGATGGACCAATCCATGTGGTAAGTTCTGTAGAAATAAAAATACTCACAGACTTCTGTTCAGCTAACTCTTAATAGCACTCGTCTGAACAATTCTCCATATAACATTATGAAAACAGTTAAGCAAGTCTTTCGAGTTAACAATATCACAACACCCTAATTAAAATATTGATATCACCCATTTTTTATTTTTATTTATTTGCATAGCATATCTTTAATTGATATTAACTATCACATGCGCCGTTGCTTTGTTTCCTTCCTTGTAATGATACATGACTACGTGTTATTTATTATCAAATGCGTCGTACTGTGTTTCCATGACACATGATTACCTGATATTCAGTATTAAACGCCTCGTCTTTATTTTTCCTTGCAATGATTTCATGTAGATCCGTAACTTTCATTTTTGTGTCATTAATGACAGGTGCACGCAGAGGATTGTTGATATAAATGACTTCATCATCTTCAGCCTCAATCTCGTCTTTTGTGGCTCCCTGTGGCTCCGCCTGTTGGTCTTTATCATCGCCTGCCAGGTCAGCCTCTATAGGCGCCATGTTGACATATATCTTGTCGTCTGGAAACAATGTTACTTATAATTAATGATTAAATATATATTGTAATGTAAAACTCAATTCATTGGCTTGGTACATCCTACTTTGCATTTTGAACTTTCGAAAATAACAAACCATGTTTAAGGATAATAATTAACCCAGTGGAATAATGTTGCACAGCACACCGGTGAGTTGATCAGATACAAACCGTTCTTCCTATTAATTGTGAGGATATTCGCTCTTTGCTTTCTGGATATCCGGTCATTTCCTTTTGAGGGAGTAAGTCGCTTCCTCCTAAAAATAAAATGATTTACCCTAGTGTCTAAGTATTAATATGCAACAATCATATAATAACCATGTGAATAACTCACGTATTTCCACTTAATCCGCTATAAATACTTATTCACAAGGAAAACGAAAATACGCTAAATGTCGCCTTTCTAATGGTCCATTACGTGTTGCTTAACCGTTTTTGTTTATTTTACAGAAAACTGAAATTAAAGTTACTTGAATTCAAAATGTCTCCATCTTTCCACAATGTGTATCAAAAGTGTCTAACACAAAACCCCACAAAATGCTTAAAAGTTCAATATTTAATTGTGTTGGAAAATATGGTATGGGCAAATGCCTCATTCGGTTTATAAAGGCATATGATTTTAAACCAATGCCATGGGAAAAAATAAAAAATGTGCAAATATCACATCTGTTTAAAGGAGTGCCAGAAACGCAAAATAATCGGAAAGTTAATTTAAAGACAGATTTTGAACTACTGGTAACTAATTCCCCAAAGAAGTGTTTAGTTGACTCTTGGCTTTCATTATATTCTTAAATATTCTTCCACCGCTACTTGTCCAATGCGTTCAAATACTTCTGTTCAGATTCCATTACTAGCTCACATTCCATTTTTCCCTGTGCATCCAAGAAGGTGACTTGGCTGTCTTGGCCATCGACATTTACATATTTCCATTATGGTACAAATTAAGTATGAAGGCGAAGATTTCTCAACTTGATCGCCACCACGGCAAGGCGGCAGACTGGTATAAATCGAGAAAATGTCAATAATTGGAACTTTGGAAATCTACCATAACCTCCGATTTTCCATTGTTTACGATAGCAGGGGTAATTAGTGATGACCACTCAATGCTTCCATAAGAAATAGGACTTATTTACAGTTGGTTTTACGTTATATCACTGATTTTTTACCTGATGATTATGACGGTGATGATGATTATGACTATAACAGCCACGACCGCGGCACAAGCTCCACCTATGATTCCAGCCAGAGGAGGACCATCTTATAAGTATAGGTAAACAAAACAATTACTTAACACATTGATTGAAAGAAACTTTATTCTGTGGTTATCTGCTAATTAAACTTAAAAAGCTTTATCCTTTCAAAGAACAGTGTTAATTAGCTTTCGCTTTGCATTCATAAAATCAGAAGATGTGTTTCGTATTAATTATTTCATCTTAGTAGCAGCTTTTCCGTCTTTGCGTATTGCAGAGTTATCTTCTCTTGAGAGCAGGTTTTGATTGTTACGTCATTGGTTTGTGTGAGAAAATTACGTCGTTTTCTCAAAAATTGATGACGTTACCCTCACAAACCAATGACGTAACAATCAATACCTGCTCTCAAGAGAAGATAACTCTGCAATACGCAAAGACGGAATAAGGAAATATGAATTCAGAATTGAATGTGGCCTCACAATAGCAGCTGTTATTTTATTGTAAGTTCATAATCAAATACTCAAGCTTTCCTTTAAAACCGTTCTTCAGCAATGATGTTTACACACGTGTGATACCGATGTCTATTTGCAAACACTAGCAGAGTAATTCATGTTCTGCATGATTGAGTTATGGGATGCTTGTGATTTGGCTCGGATTGGCCTCGCCCAATACAAACGTTTTAAGCAGGCTTGATATCATATAAAACCCATACAAGATGACGATACTTATTGAACTGTACAATGATAAAGCGTACATGGAATCGATAAGTATTCATATATATTTGGGACAGAAACGTTTTTGTAATGACTTACTTTGGTTATCGTCTGCTTTTTGAACAGCCACTTCAACAAAAATGTATATGTACATATATCATACATACATTGTCGAAAAAAAAAAAAAAAAAAAAAAAAAAAATTTTNAAAATGCTTAAAAGTTAAATAATTAATTGTGTTGGAAAATATGGAATAGGCAAATGCCACATTGGACTTATAAAGGCGTATAATTTAAAACCAATGCCATGGGAAAAAATAGAAAAAGTGCAAATATCACATCTGTTCAAAGGAGTGCCAGAAACGAAAAATAATCGGAAAGTTAATTTGAAGACAGATTTTGAACTACTGGTACCTAATTCCCCAAAGAAGTGTTTAGTTGACGCTACTTGTCCAATGCGTTCAAATACTTCTGTACAGATTCCATTCCTAGCTCACATTCCATTTTTCCCTGCACATCCAAGATGGTGACTTGGCTGTCTAGGCCATCGAAATTTACATATTTCCATTATGGAACAAATTTAGTATGAAGGCGAAGATTTCTAAACTTGATCGCCACCACGGCAAGGCGGCAGACTGGTATGAATCGAGAAATATCAATAATTGGAACTTTGGAAATCTACCAAAACCTCCGATTTTCCATTGTTTACGATTGCAGAGGTAATTAGTGATGACCACTCAAGGCTTCCATAAGAAATATGACTTATTTACAGTTGGTTTTACGTTATATCATTGATTTTTTACCTGATCATTATGACGGTGATGATGATTATGACGATAACAGCCACGACCGCGGCACACGCTCCACCTATGATTCCAGCCAGAGGAGGACCATCTTATTAATTAGAGGTAAACAAAACAATTAATCAATACATTGATTGAAAGAAATTTTATTCTGTGGTTATCTGCTAATTGAACTTACTTAAAAGGCTTTAACCTTTTAAAGAACAGTGTTAATGAACTTTCGCTTTGCATTCATGATAACAGAATATGTGTTTCGTATTAATTGTTTCATCTTAGTGGCAGATATAAGGAAAAATGAATTCAAAATTGAATGTGGTCTCACAATAGCATAATTCATAATCAAATGCTCAAGCTTTCCTTTGAAACCGTTCTTAAGCAATACTGTTTACACACGTGTGATACCGATGTAAACACTAAAGTAATGTATGTGCTGCATGATTGAGTGATGTGATGCTTGTGATTGGGCTCGGATTGGCCTCGCCCAATACAAACTTTTCAATCAGGCTTGATATCATATACAACCCTTACAAGATGACGATACTTATTGAACTGTACAATGATAAAGCGTACATTGAATTGATAAACATTCATATATATTTGGGACAGAAACGTTTTTTTAATGACTTACTTTGGTTATCATCTGCTTTTTGAACAGCTTCTTCTACAAAAACGTATATGTACATATATCAGACATACAATGTCGAAAAACGAACAAACAAAAAACTGAATATTTCGTCATATATTATGCAGTTCGAAAGACATACAATTAACTGAATCAGTATATATTACTTTTTATCATCACAAAACTTGTATAAAACATAACTAACTAAAAAAGTTATGGTTCAATTTTCTTTTGCCAACATCTCATTGTATCATTTCATGTGTTGACATACTATATATCGCATCTTGTTAGAAGGACTAACCAAATATGAACCCTGAATACTTACAGAATACATACAGTTACAAAAGAGCATGCATAAACAAAAATTAGAAAAATATTGTGAAGAGCTTTAGAAGAAAACTTATATGTGATATGGAGAGCTTATTATATATTCAAAGCTTTATGTTTAAAAAATGGAATAAATTAAGGAAATCAAGACACGAAAAGACATGATATATAAACTGAAAATCTGGTAACAGTTAACAGCACAGGATTCAAATACCTTGGTCACACGCCGAACCTATCCAGCCAACATCACATCCCGTAACGTTACATAATCCGGTGAATCTGTCACATCCGGGTTTGGTACAGTGACATATGGTATCACAGTTACTGCCAAACGAACTGATGTTGCAAGCTGATTAGATAAGAAATATATACAATCGAGTTGATATCTGAAATTGGCATTGATTAGGTAAAGAAACATACGTCGTTTATGTTTGTTTTAGAAATTGACCTTAATTTGTAGTGAGTATTCTACGATTGTGGCTGACTCATCTGATGGGCTACCAGTCCCCGATATTGGCAAAATCATTGTTGCAGGTATCTATTCTGACACGGTTTACACGTAATGCTAAATTGAGTATAGTTTACTTGTTGTAGCTAACACTTGTTACGTAATCAAGGGTTGTATTGACACCTTCCCCTTTGTCGTGTATTCGGAACACTGTAACATTTTCAGACATATTTATTTTCATTCTTTCGACCTAAATGGACAAAATGGCATGATGGTAAAAATAAATAATGAATAATAACTTGGTTTGACTTCTGCATCTAAAGAAAAAAAACAAATTAGCGCTTTCTTTCTTCGTACTTAAAGTAATCTTTTCTATTTAGAGCATTTGTTGGGATTAAAAAGCAAACTGCAATAATGGAAAGCTTTCTCCTTACAAAATCGATTTTGCTATATATTTGGCATTACCTCTATTACAATTAGGTCCTTGCCATCCAAGTGCACATCCGGACACGATACAATTACCGCTTGTCACGTCACATCCGGGAGTAGCGCAGTTGCAAGTGTATTTACAATCTTTGCCATATGTACCAATGTCGCATTCTTACATTCCAAATCGATGAAAGAAATGTATTTATTAATTTTATTTAAATATTGGTTAAACATTGCTGTTTTGAAATATTAAAAAAATATATATATCAAGCCAAGCATAGACATTATTTTAAATATGTGCAAAGCGGATCGATATATAGCTATTAACAAAAAAGCCTTTTGGTCAGTCCAGAACTGGAATTAATTTAATATTTGCTATCAAACTTATACAATTTGGGTAAATATCTATAGAAGTATTTATTGTTACATGTAAGTAGTACAATTAAAAACATCCATCTATTTATCATTTGAAACGATTAACGATGAATATACTATAAGTGATGAATATTGTATTACCTTTGTCACAAGACAGTCCTTCCCATCCTGCCTCACAACCAGACCTGATACATACTCCATTCGTTCTGTTACATCCAGGAATAGCACATTGACATGTCTGTTTACAGTCCACACCAAAGTATCCGGTGAGACAGACTGAATTCATGTCATAAAAACTGTAAGAATGTGACATGTGAAGTACATATTCTTCACATTATAGCTACAAGTAATACAACAAAGTGGAATATATATACAAATAACATCCAAATTCCTTGTGATGATTAAATATAAAAGAAACGAAACAAAGAGCTTCATAGTTGCTCCCTTGCGCTTCCACCTAGTAGATAATTTATATCACCCGGGGCAATCTAAAGTATTGTCATATGTTACTGTATAATTTTAAACAAAATTTGTAATGGCCTTTGAATAATGTATATTGCATGTATATATGTACGTTTGCAGCACACCGCTTCACCTTCAATGGTATTATGAATGTCCTCTTCTGTTGTTTCATAAACAAATTCTTTTTTTCTTATTGTAATATACTCAATAATAAACTATTTCAAAGGTTTATTAATAAATAAAAAACACAGAGTGGCTAACTTAATTGTTTCTTGACTCGTTTTATTATAAAATTCCATGGATCATTCTTTGATGGGATTTTTTTTTTGAATTACGTCATACGGAAAACCACATCATTCAAGAACCCCATGAACAAATTGACAATCTGACATCGGATCTATTTTTTTAACTTTTGTTTTTACTTTTGTTTAATGTTTTAAGAATATTTGGCCGACAAATCTGTCTACGAGTACATCACATTTCTGGATGATTTAATTTAGATTTTGAAACTCATATAGTTATCGTGATCATGTCATGACAAACAAGGAACCATTGTTCAATGCCCTATCTCTTTTTTTTTAACATATACATGAGTACCCTTATCACAAGCCATTCCTGTCCACCCAGGTTCACATCCTGGCTGTGTACAGCTCCCGTTGAATTGGTCACATCCCGGTAAAGCACAGTGACATGTCTGTAAACAGTTCTCGCCAAAGTTGCCGGCTTCGCACTCTGAATAAATAGCATGTTTTATTTAGATAATGTTAATGTTAGCATAATTTGAATTGTTTGATAAAATTTCAGAATATTAACATTTCCAATGCAAGTTCCCCTATAAGCATTATCAGCGTCATTTTGAAGCTTCTCCTTCCGCGTCGAATAGAGAAAATGAGACAACCGTTAGAAGCAAACCTTTTTGTGACGTTCAGCTAGTTTAGGAATCTTGATTGCACTGACGACACAGACAAGTCAATAGCGAAAACATAGGGGAATATTTATAATAAGGTAATACATATTTAGAACGTAAAATAGCGGGGCTTCATGTTAAATATGTTTGTAACGTAACCGGCTTGCGTTCATACCGGCATGAAATTGTGAACAAAATGCCTTTAAATCCTTATAAATCATTGAGAACAAATTATTATGGAAACAGCACAAATACACTGTCACCAATACAAATTGCCTAAAAGTTCTATTTCAGATATATTGCTCTCATTTAGATCATTTACTTGTAGTGTAGGAATCTCCTATAACATTTCTTGACTAACACGAATCTTATGTTTAAGTGAAAGTGAAATTAAACGCAAATTATTGATGTTTTATAATAATGTAGATATGTTAATCAAAATAGAGAAACACATACATGAAATGTAATAAAACAAGGCAATTAAATTAGTACTCTTATCACAAGCTCTCCCTTGCCATCCAGCTTCACATCCTGGCACCGCGCAGCTACCATTTTCTCTATCACATCCGGGTTGTGAACAATGACACGTGTGGTTACAGTTCATGCCAAATTTGCCACTTCCACATTCTGAAAAAAACCGACCCTACTAATATTAGAACTAACTCATTTTCAGAACTAGTAATCACACAGGTACAGTACATGTACAAAATTATACATTCGAAACTAAATGAAATTCCCAAATTAGCAACGTATGTTGATAAACCGACGTGACATATAAATTAAGTGTTATATTGTATATGTAGACATATCTAAGTCATTTTACCTTCAGAGCAGTGTGGTCCCATCCATCCACTCTGACATCCAGTGACGTCACATAGTCCGGTATCAGGATCACATCCACCCACACCACAGTGACATATTCCCGAACAGGTAGATCCAAAACGATTTACCGGACATCCTAATGGAAGGATATACACGGCTCATTGTTCAGGTCACTATTAATTCACAGCATAATAATAAAGTAAAAATATTTCGTAATATTGTCATCCAATAATCATTAGGATTTGAAAACATAAAATGTCCTAATATTTTCCTTCTGAAATAATGAAAGAGAGGCATGTACAATGTACCATATATAGTCATATGACATTAAAATGTGAGGTGACTTGTGTTCGATTTAATGTTTAGTAACTGAAATAAGGTTATTAAGATTATAGCGAACATTTATATTTACCAAAAACCTGCACCTCACATAATTCCAACACAGCGTTTGTTGTCGAGTAGTATCGATAAGACTTAGGCCCATTATCAGCGGGACACATGTTGTAGAATATGACATATCGTCCGTCAACAGGACAACAACGAGATTGGTTGAATGATGGAAGTTCTGGATCCTTTGTGTCGTCATGAAAACATAGATGCCATGTACTTCGAAGACTGTCCAAAACGGTCATGTTGGAAACATAAAGATAAAATCCAGAAAGGCGAAAGGGATCTGGAATAGAG